TCATTGTTAGTATGACATATAAGGACAATGTATACAAAGAGTATCACATCATCAATCATGAAATTTGAAATTGCTTTTAAAACTTGTGAATAGTGTAAAAATATGGTACTCTAAATGCAAGGATGACAAAGTTAAATTTATAAAACTTTAATTGATTCCTCCTAAATCGTGTTGTTTTATTGTAAAAATTTTGTTCAAGTTGGTTAATCTTCATATAAGATGATCCCCACTTTATAATTTGGGCGCCTGTAAATTTCTATTGCATTAAAAGAACAAAGATTATAGTACTTAAGACATGAAAAGATTACAAAACATTAAAAGAAACACTCTACAGGAACATAAACAAATCAAACCTAATATTTATCCAACTCCCTCGTGCTTCCTCTTCAAAACTTGAGACAACCAAACCATCCAACCAGGTGAAAGACTATCTCTACTTTTTGGGTATCTGTAATTTGATTCATAAAAATAACTTATCTATGATATAATTGTGCATATTATATATTCTCCAAATAATGAAGTTATAGTGGTTCTCATGCACTAGATTGAGAGAAAAAAAGTTATATTGGGGACATCTCTAAAATTTTAGAAGAAAAAAAGAGGGGCATAAATCTATGCAATTTACAAGTATAGTAATAATACAATTAAGCTAAATCAAATTAACTCTTATGTTTCAATCATTTGGGGTCGACTATATGACTATATCTTCGCCATTCATTTCGGTAATAGGTTATATGCTCATTTAAGTTAAATATTTTTATATATTTTTTTATTATTTTGTTCACTGTTAATTTAGGTATACCCATATACTCTTAGTACCATTAAGAGAAATTTTATCATTTTTTTTATCCGGGTTTCTATTGGCCTCTATTGAACATGACCAAATTATCTTAATCTATTCTCTCTCAACTTATCAGTAATTGGAGCTACTTCTACTATTTCTTTAGTATGGTCATTTCGTATTCCATCTTTTCTAGTTTTTCTACGCATCTACCTTAACATTCTCATTTATACTATACTCATTTTGCTACTATTTTGTTTCCTAGTTGCCCAACATTCTGTCCCATACAAACATTATTGTTCTTATAGTTGTTTGGTAAAACTTGTCTTTTAATTTTATTAATATCTTTCTATAACACAATATGTCAGAGGCTTTCCTCCACTTAAGCCAATTGACATTAATTCTCTGAGTTAACATCGTCTCCAATCTCTCTATCATCTTTAATGATCAATCATAAATATTTAAATTGTTTACTCGTTGTAATTTCTTGATTTTTAATCTTAACTTTTTTACTATGTCTATTTTTTTTATTATTAAAATTGCATTACACATATTCAGTTTTACTCAAACTTATTTTAAACTCTTTTAACTCGAGTGTCTTTCTCCAAATTTTTAACTTATTGTTAGGCTACATCAGGTTTCATCTATTAAGACAGCATTATTTGTAAATAACATACACCATGGTATATCATATTGAATGTGGCTAGTGAGTTCATCTATAATTAAGAAAAATAGGTATGGATTTAGAGCTCATCATTAGTATAATCCCACTCCGATTGAAGTATAGTAATAGTATAAGTAAGAAGAAATAAATTTCCAAACATTCTGAATATTTAGAGAAAAGATAGGGAGCCTTCGAAAGTCAATAGCTATCACATGGGTAGCAGCTAAAAAATGCCAATTATGACCTAACCTTTAGCCGCATAGAACGCTCAAAAGTCTTTGTCTAATATATCACCGGACATGGACATGGACATGGAGAAGGAGAAAGCAATTTCAATTCTAACATTGCAGCCCTCTTTCTCTCTTGTTAATAAATTAGTCAACACTTAAAAAGTATGCGGCTCTGGTATAAGTGGACTTTAGCAGAAGGAAATTGATTGTGGCGTTTGGCACCCTCCCACCTAAGTCAGTCAACTTGCACAATTTTTGCATAGACATGATTTACCATGATTCCCACTCCTCTACCCAATTTCATCATTCTCCTCAACTGATTTGATGAATATAATATAATTTTCATTTGTATATAGTGTTGTCAATTTTATTCACTGATTGTCAACACTGAGATACCGACATATAAGAATAGATCTTACTCCGATAGTATTTTGTTATTATAATAAAAAGTTACCAATAACAAAAACATATACTTGTATTACGGGTGGAATAGAAAGTATACATAGGGACATGGAAGCCAAAAAGAGTGGCCCAATAGATATCTCAGAAAGGGATTGCAAGAAAATAATTTTTTATTATGAAGATGATTTATTAGTTAACTATATAATTGTGTGAAAATAATTAGTATTTAAGAAGAATAAGCTTTGTTATGCAATGAACCTCACCTAGTTCGTTATTTCTCTTCTTTCAAGATTTTGTCAATCAAAGAAATTGTAGGGTTAATCCTTATCAATGGTAAAAATTACTTTCTTACGTCCCTTTCTTACCGATTTTATTGTGTTTTTTTTTGGGTTTATCTTTATATCTCTCTCAATATTTTTTTCAGTTGTTATAGATATATTATTTAGAAATTGAGAAATTGTAATGGTTAGTTATTCATTGCAATACTAATCTACCCCTATATATAAAGGGGAAAAAAAAAAGAATAAGCTCTGCTAGTATCTATAAGTACTTAATTATACAATTATATACCAGAATATATGGAGGATATGGACATGACATAACTGCACATTCTGGTCAATGAAATAGTATTCTTTGGCTTAGTAAGGTGGTCTATATTAATGGCTGGCACATTATCTCTATGCCCATCCATCAAAATGCAGAGAAAAATGCTTCTGCTTGTTGGCTGGTTATGTCTTTATGGGTTGACCATGTTCACTTTGGTCACATCCCAAACAAACCCCTCCACCACCACCAATACCACCAGCAGCAGCAGCACGTACATGATCAGTAAAGGCGCCAACATCACCAAACCCGGCTGCCAACGCCAATGCGGCAACATCACCGTTCCATACCCATTTGGGATTGGCCTCGGAACCGGTTGCGCCATTGACAGCTGGCTGGAGATCAATTGCAACACTTCTTTCAACCCTCCCAAGCCATTCATAGGTGGCCTTGAGGTTCGTGACATATCAGACTCCCAGCTTCGCATTACCAACGTCGTGGCTAAGAAATGCTATAACCAATTGGGTGCGTTGACCCATGAAAACACAGCTTGGACGAATTTAGGTTCAAGCCCATACAGCTTCTCCGCCGCAAATAAGTTCACAGTCATCGGCTGCGACGACTTCGCTTTGATCTCTGGCTCAGAGGGGCGTAATTTCACCAGTGGGTGTGTGTCCCTCTGTGCCAAAGCCGAGGACGTGCTTGGTGGCTATTGTTCTGGCATTGGTTGTTGCCAAACATCCATGCCTAAGGGTCTAAAGTACTACTTCACTTCTCTCAGTAGTTTGAAGAACCACACCGCGGTCTGGTCCTTTGATCCTTGCAGCTATGCGTTTCTTGGGGAAGAGAACGCCTTCACGTTTCGTGGCGCATCAGATTTCTTGGATCCAGACTTCATGNTCCACTTGTTGAGTTGTTATCTGAAATAATTCAAGGCAGAAAGTTGTCTTCTCTATTGAAAAAAAAATTGGTATCGTACCAACATTTATTATATTTGTAAATATTTTTATCATTGTTGTAGTATCGAAAAAGTGATAAAAATAANCCCGATAGTGCTTGACTGGGTGATCGGGAATCTGAGTTGTGCACAAGCCAAAGCTGCAAATGATTATTCTTGCCGAGGGAACAGTTCTTGTAATGACTCGGACAGTGGTTTTGGAGGTTATCGTTGTAGCTGCAATCAAGGTTATGAGGGCAATCCCTACCTCAGCCCAGGATGCCAAGGTTGGTTTTTTTCTTCGATAACTATTTGTCTAGGATTTGACTAGGGTGCATAAGTAAGTATGGTACAGAAGTTTATAAACTTTTTGGGTTAATGATGCAAGTTTTTGGTGTCAAATTACAACTAAAATGTTGGATCGATCCTAAAAGAACGACAATTAAAAGAATTGCTCGAAAATCTTATGTTGTTAGTATTTTTTTAAAACTAATAAAGGAAAAAAGAAATTTGACCGTTATGACCAACTTTAACTTACCGCACAATATCACTTTTTTCTTTCATATAGAAAAGATAAAGAAATGATACGAGTTATAATTTTTTGTAGAATCAAGAGATATTATAACGTTTAGAGTTCAAGTTATAATTTTAGAGAGTTAAGTTATAATTTTTAGAGAAATTTGGAATCGATCACAAAAATTCTAACTGATTCAAAAAAATTATACAGTAACTATTAAAAAGTTGTATACAAGGTACAATACAATTTTTTTTTTGTTAAGGTCGCATTCTCTACTATTTCTGACCAATATGACTTGGTATATTTTTTTTAATAGATATCAACGAGTGTGCAGATCCGAACAGCAATGTATGTGAAAAGATTTGCATAAACACTCCGGGGAGTTATAATTGTTCTTGTCCGCATGGATACTACGGTGATGGTAAAAAAAATGGGAGTGGTTGCATTGCTGAGAGTTCACAATTCCCAGTAATCAAGTTCACTCTAGGTAATCATGTACTAAGTTTATTTTCCATTTTAAATGAGAAATCCTATTGCAATTCGCTTTATCGTAAATTCAAGTTCCGATCCGAAATCGGTAAGTAGGAGCATCTGTCTGCCCAATCTAGACCTTGAACTCTTCATATTTGTTGTAAGGGTGCCACTTTTGTTGTTAGGGAAGACTGGTTTTCAAGATTTTAATATGTCTTTGGAAAAAAAAACACGCAGGCATGGGGTTTGGCTTTTTGTCATTACTCATTGGAATTACTTGGCTATATTTTGTCGTCAAGAAAAGGAATCTTATTAAACTCAGGGAGAAGTTCTTTCAGCAAAATGGTGGTTTACTATTGAAACAACAAATTTCTTCAAATGAAGGTGGTGTCGAGTTAGCAAAAGTTTTTACTGCTGAAGAGCTAGAGAAAGCAACCAACAACTATGCTGATGATCGAATTCTTGGCCGAGGTGGTTATGGTACAGTCTACAAGGGAATTCTTCCCGATCAACGTGTAGTAGCAATCAAGAAGTCTAGAATAATGGATGAGAGCCAAATAGAGCAATTCATCAATGAAGTGGTTATTCTTACACAGATTAATCATCGAAATGTGGTGAAACTCTTGGGGTGTTGTTTGGAGGCTGAAGTCCCTTTGTTGGTCTATGAATATGTGTGCAATGGTACTCTTTACAATCATATTCACAATAGTGGAGGAATGGCTTGGCTATCATGGGAGAATCGATTAAGGATAGCTACGGAAGCTGCTGGTGCATTTTCTTATCTTCACTCGGCAGCTTCCAAGCCCATCATCCATAGAGATGTTAAGTCAGCTAACATATTGTTAGATGACCAATACACGACAAAAATATCAGATTTTGGAGCTTCAAGGTTGGTTCCCATTGATCAAACTCAAGTTAGTACTTTAGTTCAAGGGACATTAGGGTATTTGGATCCTGAATACTTCCATACAAGCCAATTAACGGAGAAAAGTGATGTTTATAGCTTTGGAGTGGTTCTTGCAGAGCTCTTAACCGGAAAAAAACCCCTTTGTATGGACAGACCCCAAGATGAAAGAAATTTAGCCACATGTTTCATCACGTACTTGAAGGAAAACCGTTTATTCCAAATTCTTGATCCTCGAGTGGTGAGGGAGGGCACTCTAGAGCAGCTCCAAACAATTGCAGAGCTCGTAAAGAAATGCCTTAACCTGAATGGTGAAGATAGACCAACAATGAAGGAAATTGCAATGGAACTTGAAGGTTTAAGAAAGTTCACCAAACATCCGTGGGTTCATCAACAAAACCCAGAAGAAGTTGTGGGATTAATGAGTGAGAGTGAACCAGCAGATCTTTATACTGTTCCAATAAGCCCTTATAATACTACTGGGGACACCTCTGGACAACACAGCTTGGACAGTAATCAGATGATGTTCCCGATAAACAGCCCTCGCTGATTGGTATTATAGGTCATTTTTTAATAAGGTGAAGTTCTTTTAGACATCCATGTTGTTCCTTTTTTTTTCACCTTTAGCTTTCCATAATGAATTTCTATCTCTATTTTATTACTTTCCCTTGTTAGATATTTATTCCTTTACTCTCTGATTAAAGATGTATTCAGTGATGTAATGGTTCACTTAACTCCAGTCATGAATTCTAAGATGCAACGAGCTCAAGCTTCTTCACCAAATGGGTTTCTATTATTTAGCAATCAACCTTTTATAATGGGGGAATGCTATTTGTACCTAATTTAGTAATCTAATTTGTTAATATAATAGATAATAACCATTCAATTGATACTGCGTCTTAACTAATAGTGGGATCTACTGTAAATCTAATGATAGAGAATAATAAGGTCAACAAATAAGATCTATGTAGCATTACTCTTTATAATCTCGTACATTTTTGTAACAAGGTGTTAGAATACATTTTCACAGCCTTGTTAGGTGCTATGACCCATTTAAGGGTCCACCTAAGTTAAGTAGCGTGTACTTAACAAGGATTTTGCTAGATATTTGGTTCATAGATCATAAATTTTACCTCGCATATCATTGACATGTTTGTTGCAACTATGAAGAAGTAACAATTATGCAACCGTGGATATTTATCAGATTAGATCACAAAAATTGTCTTTTTTGTGTAATTGTCACTAAGCTATGGATTTGGTAATTTGTAGTTGGTTTGTTAGAATAAGTTGTAACTGATGGGTCAAGCCCAAAATGGTCAAATCTATGTGCAAAGTCCATATCTCAATTAAGAAGCCCTACCTCATTTAAAGATCTACTAAGTCCAACATAGCCCAAGACCAAGTTAGACTATTTGTTTAGTCACGTCATCAAGAAGAGAGCATGAGAAGCCTTATCTGCACCATCAAAGGAAACGGTCCACCCTCACCATATATTTGACTGCGTCTCATGGAGAGCTCCTCAACCACCTCGCTCATTGAGAAGAGATCGGAGCTCCACTGAAATGGTTGCTTAGTCGCTGAAAAGTAGCCCCAACCTGTTAGGGAGCCACTATAAATTGCACACTCCATCAACACTTAGGAGGACACTGATTACCTAGGCCTCACACTTTCCCCGAGCATGATTCTCTCTTCTCTGTCAAAACTTGTACTCTCTGCTCCCCACTCCCTTGAGTTAATAAAATACCTGGCAACCAAAATCCATTGAAGAGTAGGCGTAGGTCAACCTGACCGAACCACTATAAATTGTCTGTGTCTCTCTATCTCCCATTATTAATTTTCTTGCGTTTATTATTCACACTTGACAGGTGGTGTGCGAAACCATTTTGTGCATCATCAGTTTGGCCTCGTCTGTGGGAAGAAGACAAAATTCTCACTCCTGAATATTCCATCCACTGAACCAATGTCGATCACTACCCGATCCATGAACTAACACGAAGACAGTCCACCACGAGAAAAGGAGGTTGCTCCTCCACCAGCCAACCCTGTCCCAAACGCTCCAGCTCCGAATCCCCAGCAAATGTTGGAGACCATGCAGCAGCTGGTGGCCCAAACCAACACCTACTGCAACTCATGCTTCCTGGACAAGGAGAAGCACAACTTGGAGGTGCACAACCTGGAGGACCCCAAGGACGAGCACAACTTGGAGGTGCACAACCTGGAGACCCCAAGGAGGAGTACAACTTGGAGGTGCACAACATGGTGGACCTCAAGGAGGAGCACAATTCGGAGTTGCACAACATGGAGGACCCCAAGGAGCTCCACGCCCTGGACACCAAGGAGCTCCACGCCCTACTGCTCCACGCCTAGGCGCCCTCTTGGGAGTCCCCTTGGGCGCCCCACTCAGGGGAGCCCAACATGAGGGAGTTCTACCTCTCCTTCCTCTTGCTTCCCATGGAGAGGACCCTCATCTCCAGGAGGATGAGGGCGAGAACCAAAGCGTCGAGCATGGAAGTCATTTTCATGATCATTCCAGAGGAGCCCCCAATCATTGGGACGAGAAAATCAAGGAAGTACAAAATTAAATGGGTGATGTCTTTAATGCCATGAAGGCACAGGGACCCAAGACTGTAGACCACCTAGTAAGGTATACGAATACGCCTTTCAAGCCTGATGTAGCGAACTATCCCCTCCCTCAGAAGTTCAAAATGCCATCTGTGGAGACCTTTGATGGAACAAAGGATCCACTAGACCACCTCGACACTTACAAGACTTTGATGTAATTGCACAACGTACCAGACAAAATCATGTGCAGGGCATTCCCAACCATATTGAAGGGATCTGCCCGACAGTGGTTTGCTAAGCTCTCCCTCGCCTCCATTGTCTCATTCGCTGAGCTTAGCAGATCATTCGTTTCACATTTCATTGGAGGGCGTCGCCACTAGGAACCTGTTACGCACCTACTTAGTATAAAGTAGGACCGCGAGGAGAGCCTGAAGAGTTACCTTACTCATTTTAACGAGGAGGTACTCCAAGTTGATGAACTCGACGACAAGGTGACGATGACCACCTTCTTGGGTGGCCTTTGTTCGTCAAGCTTCCTTTTCTCAGTGATGAAGTGCTCACCGAAGAGCATGCCAGAGCTGCTAGCCAAGGCCCAAAAGTACATGAATGCGGAAGACATTACAAGGGCCAGGCGAGGTGAGTCCTACAGAGCAGGGGAAAAGAGGAAGGAAAAGGAGAGAGATGATAAGAAGGAGACTAGCAACAAGCGTGGCAGATNCCAGGCGAGGTGAGTCCTACAGAGCAGGGGAAAAGAGGAAGGAAAAGGAGAGAGATGATAAGAAGGAGACTAGCAACAAGCGTGGCAGATCAGAGAGAGTCCCTGTCAAGGACCGGCTAGGTCTTGCTCCTCAGAGGGACCGTCAACCCTTCACTCCCCTCAATGTTGTCGTGGGACACATCCTATTCCAGATCCAGGATAACCCCGCAATAAAGTGGCCTGGGAAAATGAAGTCTCCTCCAAATTGCAGAAATCCTAACAAGTATTGTCGCTTCCATCGCTACCACGGACATGACACCGATTACTACTACGACCTCAAAAGGCAAATTGAGGAGCTCATCCAACGTGGTCACCTACGCCAGTATGTTGCTGGAAGGGAACGAGCACCACAACCTCACAGAAAGAGGAGAACCAGTCGAGGAGTTCATCCCTATGGTCTTGGATGAGGAACATCCAGACAGAAGAATTTACATTGGCTCTTCCCTTTCTAAAGATCTGGCTAGCCTGCTAATAGATTTTTTGAAGCACAACATGGACGTCTTTGCGTGGTCGCATGAGGATCTTGAGGGCATCAACCCAGAAGTGGCCACACACCGTCTCAATGTTGATCCATGTTACAAGCCTGTTCATCAAAAGTTAAGGGGAGCCTCCACTGAAAGGACCCAAGCTATGGACAAGGAGGTTGAAAAGCTAATAGATAACGGGGTAGTCAGAGAAGTAGCATATCCTGAGGGGCTCTCCAACGTGGTAATGATCACTAAAGCTAATGGAAAGTGGCGCCTCTGCGTCAACTTTATAGAACTCAACAAGGCGTGCCCAAAAGATAGTTACCCACTACCGCGAATTGACCTCCTCATCGACGCTACCGTGGGGCATGAGTTGCTCACTTTCCTGGATGCATACTCTGGGTACAACCAGATTAGCATGTAT